GGAATCACAACAGCTTTCCTCGGGAACTTTTGTTCTGAGGTTAGAAAATGAAGTCTGCTCAGCGCTGGTACTCTGGCAGGGTTGGAAGTGAGAATGGCACTAAGGAGTGGGTCTGCTTTACAGTCAGCGTGTGGAGGCTTTGAACCCCTCTTGAGAGGCTTCTGGGGGATGAGTGGGGAGGGCAAGGGTCCTCCCTGCTCACAGAGGAAGGGGCCTGGGGGAATCCCACCCACAGTTTCTTTGGAAAGAAGGAAGGTGCTCTGGAGGAGCTTCATTTTACGCTATTGGCAGTCACTGTAAGCAAAGAGAGCTTTTGCAGTTCCCTGGTACTGAGTTCAGGGCACGGCCAGTGGAACAAAATTTAAGCGTATGTCTGGCCTTCCCTGAAAAGATGAGAAAAGTGTGTGTGTGTATGTTGGGTCATGCCACTTGTTGGCTGCTCCAGCTTGTCCTGGAACTTCCTCCATTCCACCGTGCCGTGCTTTAGGGATGGGAGTTTCCAGCCTGGCTCAGGTATGCTGGCCGAAGCTTTCAAGACAGATGCCACATTTGAACTTTCAGATGTGAGCGTCTTTCAGTGAAAACAGACTTATGCTGTGCCTGGCGGAGGATTAACAGGGTTTTTGTGCATGTAGGTGAAAGAGCTGCGTACAGGGCAAAAAATGAGTTGGTCTGAATATTTTTCTCTTGGGAAACTTGTGCCTCTCCAGAAGCAGCTCACCAGCCTGTGGGGGAAGTCTAAATGGAGGGGGGAGAAGGTGTGCTACTGCAGCAGAGATTGGTTTGCATTTGTGAGAGTCATCCAAACCAGAGTCCACCTCTGCTCGGTCCCTGCTGTGCTCTGTTCCCCTAAATTAAGCTTTTCCTGGTTTCCTTCTTTACTGTCCTTCTCTAGAGCCTCTTTTCCCATAAGCTCATCTCAGTTTGTGGAGTTCAAAAATCTGGCTTTGATCCACTCCTGATACACCGTATTTCCTCGCTTTATCCGGTGTGTGCTGCTTTTGTTGCCAGTGCTTAATTATACCACCTTGTGTGCCCTTATTCCTGCTCGCCAGCTTTTGTGAAGTGGGGTGTGCTGAAACAGCTGAATTTGGTGTAGGGCTTTTCTTAGGTTTCTCTGGAAATCTGAAGGGGAAATAACATTCTTCAGTCCCAAATACTGCCTTATCCTTTCTTTACAAGTAAGAGAAGGTAAGTTTGAGCACATAACGCAGCAGAGCTGTCGTCTTCAGGGGTCAGTGGTGCAGAGAGTTGCAGGGGAGCATAATCCATCGTTACAGGCTCGCTGGTGAGATTCTCCTATGGCTTTGGGCTGCCTTTTAGCTCTATCAGCAGGTGGAGTCCTGGGGAGTCACTGGCCTCTCTAGAGAGGTATGTCTGAAAACACACACTGAGAGTGTTTGCTAGGAAATAACTGCATTCCAGGGAGTGACTCTTTTGTCTTGCTAAAGTTGAGGAAATCTGATCAAAGTGCAGCCTTGCTTTAGACTTTTTCTCTTTCTTTTTGACTTTGTCCCTGACCTACATATTGGATCCCGCCACGCTGGTTGGAAGTAATTGAGACGGTAGTGTTAGGCTATTTACCAAGCTGTTCACTTGAAAATAACCTTACTGTGTCCAGTCCCCACCTGTTCTGGGATAATTTTGGAGGCAAATAACAAAGCGCCATTAACCCTTTCAGCCACATGCAACCTGTTCAAGATCTAACTGTAGCGTGAGGTTATACCTCTGCTGATGCCAGGAGGAATTTGTGACATAGGGTGCGCTTGGCTGCTTGTTTCCCAGCTCCATGGATGATTCCAGCCAGCTGCTGAAGCCAGGCCCACTATGTGTCCACATCCAAATGAGGACACTTCAGAGACCTCCTTGTAAAAGTTCCCGCTGGGTGGTTGTTGGTTTGGTGTTGAGTCTGCTGGACCAGAGGCTATGCTGGAGAATATGTGTCTGGGGGGGGTATTTTTCTTTGTTATCCCAGTGGTTGTTTCTGATTAAAGGATCTGTTTTGAAGGGGCTGCTAGTCAGTTGCCTAGAAAACTTGCTTTCATTTAATTAATCATGATGAGTTTAGTCTGGAGGTTTTGTAGGAGAGAGCAAGCAAGCATGTCCTTGGCTTCTTTCCCTTGGAAAAAAAGCAGGGTTTCATGTCTGAAACTGCAGCTCTTTTGTCTCCCCAGGTCGATATCCTTCTCTGTCCTTCGGGTTTTAATTTTACAAGCCATGCGCTTGCAGAGGTAGATCCAGTTTGAAGTCCATCCAGGTGTGGAATGAGGAAAGAACCGTCAAGAAGATTACAGGAGCTATTCTGCAACTCATTAACTCAATCTCTTCCATTTCTTGTTATCTCCTCCCCATGCCTGGGGCCTTTTGAACTAGTGCTCTAAGTGCTTCTCACTTAATCTAGCCCACCTGGACAGGTGTATGAAGAAAGGAATTGCCTTCCGGGGAAGGACTAAAGGAGCATAGATTGCAGAGGGAGTCTGCTTTTGGGAACTGCTAATCCCAGTTTAACATTATGACAGCTGCTCGTTAAAATCAGGGTGTTTTTTAACAGGCAGTTAAAGGAGACGCTTTGCACGCACATTTAGCTGAGAATAATAGTGAACCATGTGCATTTGATTTTTTTTTTTCTTAAATCACGCAAATTGTACATGGAAAGAATTCTCCGGCGTCAACTTGCTGGGGTATGGAATTTACAAGGTTTGCAGTAACATACAGTTTCCTGTTGAGGGGGGGAGAAAATTACAAAGCTTTTTTTTTTTTTTTCTTAAGATCAAGTTCAAACCTCTCATATAAATCCAGCTTCTTTGGAAGGTATACTTACTGTGTTGGGGTTTTTCAGTTGTCTTGGTGGCAGATTGTCATGTAAACTTGTCTAAGTTCTTGTTTTTATAGCTACATGTAAAGGCTGCTTATAAACTACAATTTTGTATATGGTGAGAAGGCAGCATGCAGATCTAATTTGGGAGAGTCTATATACAAAGAAAGAAGCAGAGGTTTCTTTGCCTTGGGGAGATGGCCGTTTCTTCCTAGCTGAACTTCAGTAAACTTGGTCTATTAACGTGATTTTCTCTGCAGGTCTGTGGTGTTGGATAAGAAACATGAAGAGCTGAGGCAGAGGAGGGACTATCAAAGAGACGTTTGCTGTATTTTATGTAATTTCACTGCAGACTTTACCAACTACCTCCCAGATGAGCGGTTATTTGCTGGTTGATTTCTTGTAGGCAGTGCTGTGGAAGTAAGAAACTGCGCAGCTCCTACACAAGCCCCCAGATCCACTCAAGGAGTGGTGTCCTTTTCTGCCAGCCCTTAGGCATGAGGCATGAAGGGCAGGTCTGTGATGCAGAAAGATATAAAATTGCTCCAGGTAGTTTTGTTGCTGGAAATCCTTACTCCTGCAGCTACTTAGGTTCAGGCAAATTAATTTAACCCACCAGGACTGAGCAACTAGGCTTGGAATGTGACTTTCTCTACTACATTTTTGGCAGCTCTACTCCAAATCATTTGTGGATGGGAACATCCTTTCTGTCTCCCTGGGAAATGGCAGCTTCTCGTGGCCCTTTCTTCAGCTGGCTGTATTGCTACCTGGGATTTTCATGTGTGTTTCCAGCAGCCGAGTCTCCAACTGTTCCTTCTCTGTTTGACAGAAATCTGGACGTTTCAGAGCTAGAGATGAGCTGGGAATTTTCCAGACACACATCTGTATAAGAGAAGTTTGTTGAGCAGTGAACTCCTCTTTCGACCCAACACAACTTGGTTCAGCCTTAAGGGACCGATGCTTGCAGTTTGACTCTGCCTCCTTTAGAGTGATAATGAACTGGCCCTTGTCACACGGTTCAGAGGAAGCATCTTGGTGGCATGGGGCTAATAGTCACAAGTCTTTTAATCTTCAGGGTGTAACTCTTAAGCTATAGCATAACTTCCCTTTACCTCCCAGCTTTTAAAAGACTGAGCTCTTGTTATGCTACACTGAGTAATACTATTTCTCTTTTCCCACGTTCTCTTACTCACCAGGTTGCTATCATGTAGAGTACTTGCTGATGGGGACTTGGACTCCTTTTGTATGGCTCTTTTTACATTGTATAAGCGGCTTTAACTTTTGCTGTTCTCTTCCACTGCTCTGTAGTTATAACCCTGCTGCTACTCTCTCATGTTGTTGTATCAGGCCTCTCGCTTGCAAGGTCTGGGATGTGTGCTGGAAGGCAGACCCAGTGGTGTGATGTTGGCAAGAAGAGCTGGGAGGGCAGGAGGAGAATGCAGATTTTTCTAAGAGGGGACCACAAGGCTAAGGCTGTAGATTCAGAAACTGGAACCCAAAATTCAAGTGCCAAACAGGGATGCTTGTGTGCATTTCTATTAGGGCAAATTCCTGTAGCGCCAAGACAGTTTTTCTGCAACTTGGATTAAAAAGGAGGCTGCAGTGCTTGTGTGTGTGTGTGCGTGTGTGTACATTTAAATGCTTATCTGCAGATCTGAGCTTTTTAAACTTGCTTGTGCTCTAATTGCAGAGCGTAGACTCTGCATGCAGAACAAGCCAGCCTGAAGCGATAATCCCAGGCTCAGCCCCAAGGGAATGCCTGGCACTGCTCTGGCCTGATTTTCTTAATGGCTCTGCAACTTACCGCTGGTTTGTAGGTAGTTTAAATTGTTATCTCTGAGCACCTTGCCGAGCTCGGGCAGAGCTCTTAGGATCTCTGGTCCTCTAAGAATACCTGTATGTTGTGATTTATTTATTTTTTAAAACTTCTCCCTCCCTCCCCTGTTAGGCCCAATTTGGGCTTGTGTCAGCTCAACAGACTCACTGAAAAGGGGTGCAAGCCCAGCCCACGTTCCCCGCTGACACACAGGAGAGTGGGAGACCTTGACTTCCATCTGCCCCTCCTGCCTCCTCTGAACAACCCTTCCTTGCCCCCACCGCTGTGTGATCTATATCCATGCAATCCCCTTCTCTTGCACTGGAGACTTTGTGTTTCTCCTCAGCTAATAACCTGTGTCTGATTTAGTTTCCAGGCGGACCGCCCTGCATTAAATGTCGTCATTTTCCCTCTGCTTCATGAGGACTTGACAGAGGTCATCAGAGATGTCCCCATGCGGCACTTGGATGAAATTACCTTGTTTAAAAGCAGAGTGGCCGAGGAACCTCCCAACTTGTGGTGGTGACTGTCACAGCATGGAAAGGACAGTCAGCGTGAACACGTGAAATAGCTTCTTGTTGGCTTGGATTCCCCATCTTCAGCTCCGGGCCACCTCACTGGATGCTGTACAATCACTTTAAATAGGTGCAATTGCAAAATAAAAAAAGCTGGTCATTTGCAGCGGGGAAACATCTATTGGATATTGCTTGCATCTGAAAATCCTGTCTCAAAGGCTTCTGGAATCTGATGAGTATTTCCTTGTGGTTAATATGAATTTCTTTGTTATTTTACTGAAGTTAAAGGTAAGAGAAACTGACTTCATGATGCTCTTTCCCCTGTGTCGCCTGTATTTCCTAAGGGCCCCTGTGTACTTTGGCAGTGTGCTTTGTGATATTGGTGGAAATCATTCTTTGCTTTGGTCAGTTTTTGGCAAAGTAGAAAGCCTAAGCCAGCTAAGAGGCACAAAAATGTGTTGCTCAACTGAAGCGTATCACATCTTTTCTATGTTAAAAATAAGCATTTGTAGTCACACACATGCAATCACAGATATTTAGAGGGTTTTTTTGGTTGAGAAGTACCACAAGGACTCTTTTTTTTTTTTTTTAAATTTTTGAATAACAAATTAAGGTCATCAGCACCTCAACCATGGTATGTTCTTGCTGATGCTGTTTCCATCAGTTGGTCTGGTGGAAGAAGTTCTCAGCTCTTTTGGAAATCCTTGTCCTAGGGTAGATGGTGCCTACAGTGAATAAGTTGAGGCTCAGATCTGATTTAAATGCAGTCTGTCTTGCAGTGTAGATGGGAATGTAGTGTTCCAGTTCTGTCCTTAGATCCCATGCCTTGAGCTCATGCTAATTTTAGAGATGTTATGAAGTATTTTCAGTGTGATTTCAGTCAGCTTCTCTGCTCCACAGAACTTCCTCAGGCATCAGTAGTGGTCTGGATCACTTTCATATTGCCTTATTTACTGAGCACTTTTGAAAGCATCAGACAGCTGTACCAAAAGCCGCGTTATGAATTCCTGGATCGACGTTTCTGGGTGGCAGCCGGATTTCCCTTTTGCTGGAGTGTTTTGTGGTAGCACACTGGGTCTGTCTTCTACAAAACAGCTATCAACCGGAGCTAACTTCTCCACCTGTAATCTCCTAAACACTCCCTAATGTGTTGAGCAGTGCTTTTCTGGGGAGACCCAGTGTCATCCAAAGATGATGTCCCCATCTCCTTGTCAGCATTTTCTACACAAACGCTGTTCTGTGGTCAGTGGTTCGTAGGAAGCCTGGTCTGATGGGATAGATTTTAGAGCAAAACGTACCTCACAGCTTTGGAGGACTTTCCCTCCTTACTTTCCCGTCAGTCAGGTGTGAACCTGCCTGGAAATCTGTCTAGTAGGTGTAAATCTCGAGCCAGACTGCGGTAACCCTTGTGCTCAGATAGGTTATGGTGTTAACGAGCAGGTTAATATTAGCCTTCTACTAGCACAAGTCTGCATTGCTAAAACTAACCCCTGCATGCATTTGCTGTCTGCCCTGAGTTTCTCTCCCTTTCCCACTCAGGACAGGGTGCCAGCAGCAGCCGCTGGTTTGCAGCCAGTAACAAGGTGGTGAGGCCGACTCGTGCTCCTCTGTGAACGGCTGCAGCTCAGCTGCAAGCGCTCCTGAAGTATTTGAGACTCTGCCTCAGGTTAGACACCGTGTGGGTGAGCGCGAGGAGCTGGTGCCCTGTTCTTGGCATCCTGCCACTGTTTTCTCTCCCGC